ACAGATGAGGAAGAAGAAGGAAGGCTTCCCCTGAGCTCTGCTGATTAGTCCACCGGGCAAAGCCAAAACTCCTCTACTGCCAAAAGTTAAAATGAGTCTGGGAAGACTGATGTGCAAAGCCTCAAACTGCCTCCTGCTTAGGCCTCCTATTCTGTTTCCCATCAGTGACTTGCTGTGAGAGGTAAGCCATGGGAAATGCCAAAAAATAAAGCATGATTATGAGAAAGCATCTGAGTGGAAGGAAACAGATCTCTCTCCAACATATCAACAGCACTACACACACAGCTTTGGCCCAAGTATTTTGCTGTGAACTAGTGGAAACACCTCTGGCCACCCCATGACCCACCCCATCCAGCCCAAAGCAGTCCTCTAGCGCAACCCTAAGCAATGAGAAATAAAGAATGAGACATGGCTAGTATTAAGTTCGCAGTGCTCCTATCTCTGAGAAAGGCATATGTTCCCCAAGTGCTGTCAGTTAAAGCACAGAGCTGAGACAAGCCTGACAAAAAAAACATCCACAGCTGTGAAAACACCGGTTTGCCAGAGAACTTCCTACCACAGCTGCTTAAACTGAACTTCCTCCTCTTCTTGCCTTCGAAGCCCAGAGCTCTCACACAGCATCACTTCGCATCGGCTGCCACCTCGCGGCGCGGACTACCAATGCAACAGCACCGCTGTCCCCGCACCTCCCCCCTGCAGCCACTTGCAGAGGCGACCCTGCACGTACCCGAAGGACAACACATTCCCACCTGCGTTATTCTATGAAATCTGGGGCTAAGGAACAATCTGGGAAGTTTCTCAGGAAGCCATACCAACTTCCAAGCTCTTGCTAAAAGCTCTACAGAAAGCAACCAGGAAGACCATATCAATTAAATCCTTCAAATTAAGGCTATGTATCCTTTTACAGTTCTCTTTGAGGATAAAGACAGTGATCCTCCTTGTCACAAAAGAGGCAGCATTTGCAAAGCTTTAAGGCAAACTCAATGAAAGTAACTTCACGTCAATTACTATCATCACAGGAGGTGACGAAAGTGGCATCTCTCACACCAAGGGAAAGGAAAAAGAAAACCTGAAACATTAGTTTTAAACTGTAACACTGAATTATTTATCTTGTAAAATAATGAAGTTGTAGCAGCTGCTGCTACACATGTAATATTCTGGTCAAGGCCACCGCTGCCCTGAGCACCATTTCTGAGCGCACCAGAAGAGGAGGAAGAAATCCCAACCCCCTCTGGCCACCAGTGAGCTCCAGTGCCACTCGGGAACCTCAGTGAGGGGGAGCAGTGCCCTGCAGGCGGGCAACTGGGATGCCTGGGCAGCAGGGCTGACCCCAGAGAATGAGGCAGACAGGAGAGCACTCACCTTGTTTGGCAGCAGAGGGTCTTTCCAGCTGCAGCTGAGGGTGGCTGCTCCCTTCCTCTGCAGCATGCACTGCAAGGCCGCCTCCACTGCCCCGCCAGCTCCCACCAGCAGCACCGTCTTTCCACCTGCATGACACAAGGCAAATCATTCACCTGCCCTTGGCTGCAGAGGCATGAGCACCAGGGTCTGTGGTGCCACAGAACTGGAGCAGCTACACAAACTCTGTGCCTTGAGCAGGTCACCCCACCAAAACCCTCCAGCAGGGCCAGGAGTGCAGCTCAGGGCAGGACAGCAGCAGCCAGGGCATCAAAAGCTACTCTTTTGGAATCCATGCAGTGAGGCAAAGCACAGGTTTTAAGCTGTTTCCTGGCAGCTCTCTAAATCTAGTAAGCAAATACTGCTTTTCTCATTTTCTGGTATTTTATTTGCACAAATCCTTTCATTCAGATTTGCTACATTTGACCTCCTGTTTACAGTTCTATTACAGAAATCCTTCTCTCTATGATTACGAACCACTGTAAGAGACTATCTCTGAAATGCTGCCTTAAATTAACAGTGCTGTCATGCACTGTAAAACCACTACTTTAAATCTGCCATTTCAATGTTAGCATTTACACAATCCGATCCAAATCAAAACACTGGCTCAGCAGTTCTTTACAGGCAGACCTGGATTTCTCAAACTGTTAAAACTCATCAAAATTGCCAGGTGAAGTCCCTAAGTGATGTTTGTATTTTTGGTTTTGAAGACTCAGATGTCTCAGGTAGCTTCATTAAATATGCTGATGGCAGGCAATCCCTGCCTAATCTTAAAAATCTGTAGGATTGAGACCCATTTCTGCCAATATTACATTCAGATCTCACTGAGGTTTCTCAGTAGCAGAAAAATGTATGTGGGGTGTGTAAAGAACACAAACCAGAAAACACAACAAGGTGAGATCATATTTGTCTCTCTAAACCCAAGAAAGTTAGTTCAAGTGATAACTATGACAGGAGATCTCACCTAAATCTTCAAGAAGCTCCACAACAGCACACGCTGTAGGAGGAGCTAGACAGTCATTGGCATCGCCACGTACCAGCCGTCCTAGGTTTACATCGGATAACCTGCAGTGGAAAAACATGGCAATTTAAACAAAGAGTTTGTGTAACAAATCCGCAGTAAAGCCTGTAACATGGCTAACAGGTAATCCCAAGTGCAAACACATCTCATAAAAGTAAATCCTTTGACAGTCATGTACTGTGGCTAATTTGTATCACCCCATGGGCCAGTTAGACAAATACTGAGCCTCAAGAGAGGCCAGGAAAGGCACCTGGCAGTTAGAAAAAGTACCACCAGCCCACAATACAGGGGCAGCTCTTTACTCATCATGGTGAGCTACACAAGCATGTTGGGTCGAAACATCTTAGTGGCTACAGACCAGCACCAGCACAGCCAAGCTGAGCCAGAGGCAAAGCATCCTTCTGGGCCCAAGCTCCTTGCTGAAGGGAACTCAGGAGTTTCTGTGCTGCAGGCACTGTGGTCTCTCTCATACACAAGGGTGCTCTGAATCTCCCTTTGCTGTCAATCTCCAGTACTTCAGGTAATGGAGAGCTAACTAATGCACAACATTTTCAGATTTTTTTTTTTCTGGACAGGAATTAAAAAAAAACAAAAAAGAAGATTAGATTCTTTTTTTTTAAAATGTCATCCCCCCCCCCGCCCCGAAAATAATAATAAAAAAAATGGGTCACAGTCTGCAGTTAAGAGCAAAAAGGCTTCAAGAACGGCAAAATGGTAACCCAGACAGCTAAATTATAGCAGTGGCTACTCCAGAGAGCAGTGCAAGACTGCTCAAAACTGATTGGAAAGTTCTGCTAATGGGTCCAAATTATTACAACCTACTCTCCCACTGTGAGCAACTGCTGTAAGGAAATTTAAAACCTTCTCTGCAACTTTCCCATCAATCCTTGTGAAAATTTTGAGGATTGTGTTCAGTACTTTGTGACTACAATTTGTCCTACTGAAGTACTGAAATACCTTAAGTATCATCAGTAAATCAGAACTTAGTTTTTTTACTTCTTTAAAAAGACCATGTCCTGAATATACAGTATATAAAGATTAACAAGCTAATGATCAAAACTACTTCAGTCCAAGACTTCTATTGATTCAACAACACCTTTAATCATTGCTCAATAGCACAGCTAGACATATTGACTGAGAAATCCATTAAAGAAAAGGGGAAAATTGATTTTACAATGCTATCAGCCTTATGTCTGCTAATATTGTTTCTCAGTACTCCACTTACCCATCCACATCCTTCTCTGGTTTCACAGCATTTAATACCTTACTGCTATATAAGCTTTCTGGGAGGTCAAGGGCAAGGCCGTGCACATTAGGATCCTCATTAAGTCTCAAGACTTCATTGACAATCTAGGAAGTTAATAGAAAGCATCAAAGATCAGAACAACAGACAAAAGAAGGATCTAATTAGAAGGGGATAAAACCTATATTTTAAAACTACCTTATGGCCACCCTTCCTTCCCTCACATATTACTGCAGCTTCTAAACATAAAAGTAATAACCTGTTTTCCTTGATTTAAATTTCTGTGGCTTACCAAATTAAGCCACCCTGACTCTATTCTAAATATTTTGCAAAGCCAACACATATTACATTACATTATTCTGCCAAAATCATTCTGTCTTCCACTGTTTCAAATATCAGCAAAAATTTGACACTCTAGTGGCTTCGGAAGTTTTGTTTTTTTTTTAAAAAAAAGAAGCTTTGGTTAAAACATAGTTCAAATCATGAACATGTATAAAAAGTTGTATAATTTTTTTTCCCAGTGTTACAAGAGAAAATTCATTTTCTGAAACCAGCATATTGTTATTTTCCTTCTCAAAATAACGTGATCCTAAGAGTGAGTGAAGAATCATTATTTTGAAATGGCACTGCAAAAAAGTTTTTGAATTTCAAGTACTGAAGCAGATGCCAATTCAAATGCTTTATAATTGTTCACATTTCACATCAGAGACTGTACTACCTAGTCTTCATTGCTTCTTCACTCAAGTACAACACTGATCCAAAGCGATATTTGCTATTCTGCTATGCCCATGAAGAATACAATGGAATAAAACATGCTACAGTTTTCCCATATGAGAAATATCATGTGAGCATGTCTTTCTATCATATTATTCCAAATAAAACCAGTATGCAATCAACACAAAGCTGTATAATTTCACTGGATTAATATCCAACAGAAAATGAGTATAAACTTTTTTCCTTAGCTAATACCATGCCTTCCTACAATGCTTTTCATGTAAACTGTTCTGCAATTCTGAACTGAGAAAATGTACAACTTTGGTATTATATAAGCATGTCACTGGTACAGAAGTGCTCCTTTAGTTCACTGACTTCTGAGACAGAAATAGGGATATATACTGACGCTGTGCCATTGGACAGCAATAGGGCTGCTATACACATTAATAGAAAGTAACGGTGAGTATATATGCACCAGAATATGCATGTGAAAACATCCATATTTTGCTTTTAAAATCCTGAGATGCTACAAAATATCAGGGGCCTACACAGCAATTAAAGAAAACATAACTCATAAATAGCCTGAATCTAATGGTTTAATTCAGCTTTCCATCCCACTACTTATGCACAGTAAAACAATCTTGTATTAACTTGCTTTTACCATGCAACAGTTATAGAAGAACAAAAACTGCACAGTACTGAAATCTCTCCCACCCTCCCAAACCAGGGAATGCAAGCTAGCATGTGGACTCTAACAAATGAGAAAACACTCTGTCATAGTGAGCAAGCAGGAGAGTTAAGCAAACTATTCATTATGATCTGTATTGAAAGTACCTTTCTTCAAATAACAAAAATACCCTGCTTTTCTCTTTGCATATAAAGCTCAGCCACTTCCTAAGATATTCAAAGCATCAGCAACTACTTCTGCATACTCACTGTATTTTACCTATTTCCTATTGTGTAACTCAGCAGATAAAATGCTTTTTCAAACAGCAAAGTGTATTTGATCTTCATTTCAAAAGCCCACCCTTCTTAAATGGTTAGCTGTCTATTCACCATCCACTAAACTGGACTCCTAAAATTCTTCACAGTAAGTTCCTCTCAATATATCTGGAAGCGGTTCTTGAGATTACACTGCAAGCAAGTAACATTTTAAAAGCAAAGTGTACCAAATACAAAACGGTTCAGAAGACCCACAAGCCTACAGGATTAGAAACTTGCCAAGCTCAAGGGGGCCAGCTGGGAACAGTGACATCTTTTACTATACACTCCTTTGCCATTTTCTTTTTCAGATGCCTCAGGACTATGTATATGAACATGACTTGCTACATTTAAAACCTACTTGATACTAGTGCTGTACCCCCACCCTAATGCCTTTGACAACGGAAGAACTCAGCCCTCACGTGATTTGTGGGGTGTGACTTTTTTCAATGCAAACTTTAAGCATTAAAAGATCCATAAACAGGCAAATAAATTCACACCCCTCCTCTTCTAAATTAATTAATATTTAATTTTCATTAATAATTTGGGCAAGAATCAAGTACAGTCACAAGAGCAATTATGGGACATAGGATACCAATACTGGTATGAGGGGACATTGCAATTAAATACCAGACATGAAAACAAAACATTACTTTGCTGATTCTGCTTCAGCTTGCATGGGGACAGCAGACAAGCCCATTAATTCCTTTTTTTTTCCTGCTCTTGCCAATAGGGGGATAGAACTAAGGCAGTTCCAACCCCAATCTGAGTCAACAGAGATCAATTCAAAGGGATAACGAACATCAGTAATAAACATAAGTTTCTGACAAAAGCAAAAAAGGAAAAGTCCTTTAGGTACTGCAGTTACCTCATCCTTGCTGCTGCCTTCAGGGAGACAGATGTGAACAACACGTAGACCAACCTGCCAACAGAAAATGCTTGTAACTACCAAGGGCCTGTAGCTCATGATTAATAATAATAAGTGTATCAACTGAAGCTTACCTCTTTGGCAAAGTTCTTGTTTATTTCTTGAATCAATTGATCGTTATGTGCCTTGGGGAATAAAATAGAAACTAAGTTTTAAAATAATCAATTTACATTTAAAAACCTGGAGTGCACTAATGCGCAGATCTACACAAGAAATGCAGTGAGGATGTTTGTGTCTACCAGTACTCAAACAAATAAAAAGCCTAGCAATTCTAGGAAAGAAGCAGAATATCATTTAGTATATTTATTTTGGCTTGATTAGTTTAAAAATGTGTTGATACCAGTCTGGCTTTTATAGACAACCATTTCCTTAACATAAGTTTGCCATTTAAGAAAGGTACCAGTCTGTATTTGAATATACCATTCTCCATCCACCCACGTAACAAGGACAAAACAGACAACAGCAATACTAACATTTCCTGCCCTGTTCTCATACCAGCTAGAAACACTGGCTTGCCTCACCACTGAAAATGAGGTGAAACATTATCATCACGTCTTACATGAGTTCTGTAAATGCAGAATCAAGAGAAGTGATCAGCTCCTCCCAGTTGCCAGCAGGCACCTGCACTAGGACAAAAGTGTTTCCTGGGCAGATTTACCTGAGAAACCATCGCACCCAGGAATCCTCCCTGAGGTCTCTACACCTCCATGCACCATATATATTTTGGCATTTAATCGCAATAATTACAATTGGTTTTTAGGCTTCCAGTTACTCTTGAACCTTAGGAGGCTTTTCAAATATCTTCATATACTGTAACAGTAAAACTTAAAATTCAATACACAGAACTAGAAACCTCATAGTAACGGACCAGTGAGGCTTTTACCCTCAATAACGTTAGTGGCTTCATAACAAGATTAAAAACACACTTCTCACAGCTATATGACTATATATAAAACCTATCTTCTGACCCAGACAACAGGAGCAAAAGAAATAATTTTTAAAGGGTTTGTTACAATTTCACAAACACATTCTTCATAGCTTTTGTCACAAGACCCAGTGTCAGTGACTGTCCATCAGAGCTGAGCTGCTCACTCCATGGTTAGCTGCCAGTGCTGGCTTTGACTGTCACTAGCATCACCCACATTTTTTTTTTGGCTGAAGCCCGTAACAATTTAGAAACATGTCAATCCCAAATGGTTCAGTACTGCTGCCAATGAAAAAATGTCCATTTAAAGGACAGACTTTGTGGAGTGACGTAGCTCCTGAGAGGGGATGCTGCTGCATTGAGAACACGTGTTCCCGCAAACTGCAGAGAGGGAAGAAGAGTGGACTAAGGAGAGCTCAACAGCTGCTCCCCTCTGCCAGTAAATGTGCAACTGTATCCCCACACTGATGCAAAACCACCAGGACTCCTTGAGAGGTTTAACTGGGAGGGAGCCACCAGCTGTACTACCCTGTCACCTGTAATTTCCCTGCTCCTGTGGCACTGGCTGGTGAACACTCACCTCATGTGGGCACAGAAAGCCCCTGCCCTGAACCAGTTCCTCTGACAACCTACTGTGGTGGTACAAACACCTCCACCCTGGGCTGCACTGCCATGTCAACACCAGCCAACATCGTTCTTGCTTTAGTTACGAGGGCAGTGGGCCCAACATCGTTCTTTTTTCAATTGCAAGTGCAGTGAGCTGGGACAATCTGGTTCTTTCCAGTCCTGGTAGAACTACACTGAAATCACAGAATCACAGAATTGTCATGGTTGGAAAGGACCACTGAGATAATGGAGTCCAATCATCAACATAAACCTCCCTCCCCCCAACCAACAAAAAAACCCCATAAAACTGCCACACCTACACATTTCTTGAATGCCTCCAAGGCCTGTGTCTCCACCACTGTCCTGGGCTGCCTCTGGTCCTATCACTATTTACTTGGAAGAAGAGGCCAACACCCACCTCCCTACAACTTCCTTTTGGGTAGCTGCAGAGGGCAATGAGGTCTCCTGTCAGCCTCCTCTTCTCCAAACTAAACAATACCAGCACTTTCAGTCACTCCTCATATGACTTGTTCTCTAGACCCTTCACCAGCATGGTTGCTCTTCTCTGGACATGCTCCAGAACCTCAATGTCCTTCTTGTAGTGAGGGGCCAAGAACTGAACACAGTACTCAAGGTGTTGTCTCACCATTGCCAAGTACAGGGGCACAATCACTTCCCTACTCCTGCTGGCCACACTATTCCTGATGCAGGCCAGGATGCTGTTGGCCTTCTTGGCCACCTGGGCACACTGCTGGCTCATGTTGAGCCAGCTGTCAACCAGCATCCCTGGGTCCTTTTCTGCTGGGCAGCTGTCCAGCTGTCCAGCCACTCTTTCACAAGCCTTTCTTGTAGCCTGGGATTCTTGTGACCAAAATGCAGGACCCGGCACTTGCCCTTATTGAACCTCATACAATTGGCCTTGGCCCATTGATCCAGCTTGTCCAGGCCCCTCTGTAGAACCTTCCTACTATTGAGCAGATCAATACTCCCACCCAATTTGGTGTCATCTGCAAACTTACTGAGGGTGCACTCATTCCCTTCATCCAGATCACTGCTAAAGATATTGAACAAGACTCCCACCTGTGACACTCAGAGTGCAGCACAGGCAAGCCCAGAGCTCAGGGCATGGGCTAGCAGAGTGCAGGGGCAGGGTAGGGGCTGCAAGGGAGCAGGTGGTGCTTTGCTGAGCTTTGCAGAGCAACAGCTCCACTGCTAAGCAGAGTCTTGCTACTGTAAGTTTTCAGCTTTAACAAAATTAAGAAGCAGTGAACAATCATTTTTTTGGTGTTGCATGGTTCCAGCCCAGGTTCAACAGGGATAATAAGCAATGCAGGTATCAATCTCAGCATCAATTCAATTTTTGAGAGGAAAAGAACACTTCTAAAACTAGCTAAACACATACAGACTGGCTCATTCTGCCACTCCTCATTGCCAGTAACGCTGCAGAGGAGGTGCCATGTCACACTGACTGCTGTTACCCATGAGCAACTAGTAAAGGAGATAATTCTGCTGCCCTCTCTCTGCTCCTCTGGCTGAACTGCAACATGTGGAGAGCAGCATGAATTTTAAGGCTCTGCCCACATTACCCAGTAGAGCAGAGCAACACAAAAGCATTTTAGACTAAAACAAGGCTTCTTTGTACCAACAAATACACATTTAAAAGTATTTCTTCTTCAGTCATAAAATCATTTAGGTTGGAAAGGACCTTTAAGATCATCAAGCCCAACCATTAACCTAGCACTGCCAAGTCCACCAGTCCTTACAACCAGACCAGAGCTAAGGTAACTGACAGGTGGAGGACATCATTAGGGTGAATTTCAACCAGAAGGATCTAGGCTGCATGTTCCTACAGCCACCTCATGATGCAAACCAAGTGTAATTAACAGGGACAAGCATAACCATGACCAAAACCAAAACACTGATGTAGCTGCATCCCAACTGATATTAAAAGTGAGCAAGAACCTCCCTCTTCTCACTGAATTCTCTCTCTCATCCTAACACCCCTATGGCTATGCAGAAAACCAGACTCAGGGACTAATGTGGCTGAACAGAAGCATCCCCAGGCACCTCCAGCCCAGGGTGGATCAATGCCCCAAGCCAGCTCATGGTGCAACTGGATGGAGACATGACAGGAGTGAGAAACAACAGATCACTGAGAACACAGGTCGCTGGTTTTCTAGTAATCCTTAAATTCAAAGCCTTAGAGGGCTATTTGAAAACATTAACCACAATCACCAAGGGGGGAGGGGGAGGGGCGGGGAAACTTTGTTAAGTCAGTGTCGCTAAAAAAACTACCGAAATGAAGTTGGTGCTGCATTCCGTACATTCACTGTTAGAAAGTAAAAAATATTTATAGATGTTTAAAAAACGAAAACCTACTGGGTGAGGGATTCAATGTATACTCACTTAAAACAAACACCACCAGCCTAGGAAACAGGACAAAAAAAAATCTTGCCTGCAGGGCTCTGGGTCCCACTCAGAATGACAAACAACCCCAGTTTTTTGGCCTTAAAACCTTAAGAAATCTAAAAAGGAACATCTCTTAGCTTTGCAGGGATAGCAATCCTTGTCTATGAGTTTGGTTGCCTATCTCAAAGATGGCAGTGCCAGCAGTATGGAAAAGAAAGCTCTTCACAAAGTTAGCAATGCAACTACGAGATTGCTTCACCTTCGGAAGTGCTGCTACTTCTAAAGGATACTGACATTTTACACAGTATTTATTTCACACAGATCCTTTTGAGCTGACTGGGACCTTTCAGCGTGGTTTCCCTCTCCTTAAGACTTCAGTCCTGTTCTTTAGCTACAGCTGCTCAAAGGCAACAAGGCTGGCAGGAAGCAGCTGGGTCTTTCCTTAACCATGGCAATGTTATTTCAGGGGTGGGAGGTGAAGACAGTCTCATGTTTTCAGGCACGTAAGCACCTTTCAGGGCTGCAACAAAAGCTTCAAGCTAAAAAAAGTTTGAGAACAACTGCTTCAACTCAATTACTTCAATCAGTTTAGACAACTTGTAAAAAAAAAGGCAATCTTTACTTACAGTGGGGAAGACTGTTAGCAGAAGGAGAAAGGGGTAAAATAATTCCCTTCCTTTGCAAACCTTTCCCACAGCCTGTATTTTACTGTGGCTGTTATAATCAGATGTTACAGTCCGGTGGAATTCTCTGCTCCTATCACTTTGCTTGAATAAAAGTTACTTTTTGCATCATGCACTCCTTAAGTTTCAGACAAGCAATAGTACTGAAGGGGACCTCTCACAGCCACTGAGCATACAGACACACTTTACCTGAATAATGGCAAGTGTTGGCACAAGCCGAGGGTTTTCCTTTCTAAGGGAGGCCAAGGATTTCTTTGCATTCTCAGTGATTTTGCTGCAACACAGTAACAACAAATCTTTAGCAAAACAAAGCTTAGTAACATCAGTCAGCAGAAACTTAGGTCAGTCAGAAATAAGGAATCAACACTAAGGCACATGCACTTTTAATCCTCAAAATTGCAGATGGATATAAACGGTGAGGGTTGGCTTTCAGTGGGTAGGTACAGAATACCTTAAGAGACAAAAATACTTCCTTTTTACAGCTATGTGAGTCATTGCTCTGACATGCCCAAAACATCATAACTAGCCTGTGCGATTTCATGAGAAGGCTTGTCCAGCCCCACCACAGAAAGCTCGGCAGGGATCCACCACCCCGAGCCCTAAGGCTCAGGTGAGTCCTTCATTTCCATTCCCTGGACCCAGGTGCCCACAGAAGCAGAGGCCTTCACAACTGGGCTGCCTTACACACAGGCATCAGCAGCCCTAACAGCAGCAGAACAGCCACTTTCACCGATGCTATTCAGAGCTGCGGGCAGCAAGGCAGACAGAGGAGTTTTGTTTGCTTCTTGGAAAAACCGGTGGGAGCCGGGCACTGGGAACGCTTTCTGGAAAAAAATGTCTCGGTAAGAGGCTGCCGGCTCTCCTCTTGGTATCTTTGCATATGCAAATGATACCCAGAAAAGGAAGTAAGGAGACCCCCCTAAAAGATGTCTGTTTGTCTGTCTCCCACAGCAAGCAAGACGAACGGAGGGAAACGCTGTCCAGGGCGCTTTTTTGCCTCCTCATACCCCAGCCCTCTTTGTAGAAAAGGCAATTCAGGTCAGTGCCGTGGCACACAAACTGTCCCAGCTAAGGTTGAATGGAAGGGGGGCCGGGGAGGGGTAGCGAGGAGGGACGACACAGAAGACACGTCTTCCAGACGCATGTCCGTGCTCAGCTTCACCTTCACCTAACGCCTGAAAATGCCGTAACACAAAAGCCACGGAAAAAAACACTGCAAAAATCCCACCCAAACCCAACACAACAGCCGATGACTGCGGGATGGGGAGGGGGGAAAAGGATGGACATTTTAACACGAGATCACCTCCACTCCCCGGTGGGGCACCGGGCACCCCACAAACCAAGCCGACACGCTCACCGAGGAAACTCTCTCCACCCGCAAAACCCTTCACTCCCCCCAAGTCCCTTTCCCCCCCCAGCACCCC